AGCCACAACATTAATATCACAGGCACAATACTGTACAATGAAACCAAATATTCTGCCAATTCAAAGGTAGTAACCCAAAGTCAGTTAGGACAGGCCTCTTGAGGAAAAGCACGATAGAAAATGCATGTATGTGGATGCATCAAAATGAGGACTTAACCATAATATTTTGGTTACCTCGATTAGTTACATGGGAGTCAAAAATACAGTGAATTCATTGTTCGGTATTCACAAATTCAACAAATGGTGAATTTTTGGGTAGAGCCTAACCATTGTTGTTCATGGAGAAACTCGCCTGTTTGCAAGAAGCATGAAGATTTTTTTTTTTAAACGCTCAAAACAAAATACTGTATTTATTGTATTGTAGTGTCTCTTAAATTGGGCCAACAAACTATCAATGCTGGCAATAAAATACGCCCAAAAACACATCAAACTAGTTGTCCGTCCATCCATCCATTTTCCGACCCGCTTTATCCTCACAAGGGTCGCGGGGGGTGCTGGACCCTATCCCAGTTGTCTTCGGGCAGTAGGCGGGGGACACCCTGAACCGGTTGCCAGACAATCGCAGGACACACAGAGACGAACAATCATCCGCGCTCACACTCAAACCTAGGGACAATTTAGAGTGTTCCATTAACCTGGCATCCATGTTTTTGGAATGTGGGAGGAAACCAGAGTGCCCGGAGAAAACCCACGCAGGCCCGCGGAGAACATGCAAACTCCACACAGGGAGGCCAGAGCCGGAATCGAACCCTGAACCTCTGCACTGTGAGGTCGACACACTTTTTCATCACAACAAGTTTAGATTGTTATGGTTTGCTCAACTAGGATCCAGAGACTTTATGGAGTTGATGTGTCTGCGAGGGAAGGACATTGTAAAACTACTTGACATGTTGTTTTGGCTAAAGTGCTGTGTCATCGCTTTGTTGTTATGGTAACAAGGGCGGAGGTCACACTGGCTAAATGACACGGGCGTGTCACCAAATTGAAAACCCTCTCGTTATTGTTGAATTTTGTGTCATGGAAGTTTTGAAAACATGAACGCAAACAAGGATTTGGAGTAGAACAATGTTACACGCTTAACGCTGGAAAAACAAAACAAAGAAATATATTCTAAAACTACAGAGGCAGTAAAGTATTTTATAAAATGATACAGTACCGAGTAAATAGAATGTGAATAATTAAACAGTTTGTGCAGCATGATTTCATACATTTATTGTGCTGCTCCTTCTAGTTTGTGTGACTCAGGCCACCAGGTGGCAGCAAAATATGTATACGTATACACAAGAAGAAGACTGTCACAACTGCTCAGTAAGCCACAGTAATATAAGTGTTTTTTCACAACAGATAAATAATATATGTCTGTGAGTATTGTTATGTCTGTCTTCACGTTTCGTGGCATCATTTTTGTTCAACTTGCTTTAAGGGTTATAACACAAAGACATTGGTTCAAGTTTTGTCAGCCCGCTCTGAGGTATTGTATTGTGCGCTACAATTAAGCTAAATGGACTTTGAGGACAAATCTGTGGTTGTTTACATAAGTATGGAACATGTCATTATCTTTGTTTTATGTTTAGTTTGACACTAAACTTCAATTCGGAGTGGCACCAATCTGAGGCCTCTTTTTGTAAGAATTGTTTACTATCTGCCAAATTCCTGCTTGTGAAGGTAATATTTGTCTTTGTTCAAAAAAAGTAAAACAAATGTTTGTTGGAGGCTGGAACGGATTAATGGCATCCATCCACACATCCATCGAATTTCTAATCCGCTTATCCTTACAAGGGTCGCGGGCGTGCTGGAGCCTATCCCAGCTGTCTTCGGGCAGTAGGCGGGGTACACGCTGAGCTGGTTGCCAACCAATGGGAGGATTAATGGCATTCCAATTAATTTCAATGGATAAATTATTTCATCTGCCTCCCCTTCCTCCCTCCAGTCTGCCCACTGCAATACTGTCGCCATCCAGGCTCCCATCACAGCAAACCAGAGCAGCAACTGAGGAAGGGGATGCAAAAAAATAAAATAAAAAATCTAGAAAGCAGGAAAGAAGTGATGAATTAAAGCAGGTGTTGATCGGGTCGGAGCAAGAAAACAACGAGGCAATAAGCTTGATTGCGACGATGCAGAGTATGCACGCGAAGGCTGGAGAAAACAAGGCCAAGGAAGGGGGTCGAAATATCGCAGCTGTGAAACGGGGGCGAGGCACAGAAGCAGGGTAAGGAAACGAAGAAATGGACATTTGGGCAGAGAAGGGACGTGCACGTGCAGAAAGGAGGACATCATGAGGGGATGAAAAGATGCGGCCTTGCAGAGGTAAAGAGGAGAAATGACCGGAGGGAAAGCTTTTGTTCTTCTGTGGGCAACACAAAGCAATATCGTGTCTTTGTGTCTCAGTGACTCCCTCCGCTTTTCTGCTCCATGAGCCTTTCTTCACATAGAGTAAAGCCCACAAACAGACAAGAAATATGCCCCTGAATCAGAGGGACAAAATACTAACACGGTAAGGTATGAGTTTCAGTTTCCATTCTGATACATTATCACTAGCACTGGACGACAGCAAAGTATCATTAATGATGGGTCAATAATTCATGGAACTTTAAAGCGGCGCTCCTCAAATGAAATGAGCCAAATGTAGAGCTTACAAATTGAAACTCAGGAAGAAAGAGGTAATTTTCAAAATTTAACAACTGACAATAACAGATTATATTTTTGTGCTAGCATTGCTGCGGCACATTAATGTGCGCTGAGATCATCCTGTGTGCTGCAGGGCATTACGGCAAATTTTCACTTTATTCGTGGAAAATCTACTACCAAAAAAAAAAAAGTATCTTTGTCTATTGAATATATAATATTCAATGCCAGCGACATATAGTGATCAGCAGAATGATTAAATGTGCTTCCACTTGATGGTAGAAATTGCGTAATTAATCGCAATCAAATAGGGACACGTTTATTTATTTATTTTTTTTAGAACATACACTTTTTACATTTTGTTTTGTGGCGTGATGTGATGTTTTCCCTCATATAAAATAAGTGCCCTGGCTCAATAAAGGTTACGAAACACTGACCGCAATGGATTAAGATTTCATCCAATGAAACTTAAATTGTCATCTAAATGATTGATGTATTGGATAAATCCCCCAGATCTTATTACAGTCATAAAACTTTAAATCACTATCCTGTCCAAAAAAAAACAACAAAAAAAGACAAAAATGGATTGAGCCCACTCTAGTTCTCAGGGGTCAATTGCTGTCCAAATGCCCCCATGCGTGTGGCTAAAGGTCCTGTGGGCCGGCGGGATGCCCAACACCCGCTCCGTTTGGCTCGAGACAACACTCGTCATGCCAGGCTGCTGGCAAACAACAACAATGACCCTCTAATGGAAGAGTAAACATACTAATAGGCCAGGAGGCGCTACAGAGAGTGAATGTGGAAGATGTTGTGCACCGCGCGTGCTTTACTGGTGAAGAATAAATAGAACAGACTCCACCGAGCGTCGACAGACCGGGCGTCGACAGACAAGGCAATATTGACAAATTGAACGGTGTCATGTGTACACATTTTAGACATACAGTATCGCTAAATTACATCCATCCATCCATGCCCTGCAGGAGACTATTCAAGATGACTTTGGGGCAAAAGGTAGGATACACTCTGGACAAGTCACCAGTCAACCATTATTCACACTCACATTCACCCCTAAGGGTCAAATTAGAGTTTTGAGATGCAATTATGCTACCCTTGTCCATTTAAGATGTCAGCATTGTCTGAGCCTGGATTTGGGTTGTTGACCTACTTCTGTATGTCCACCAGTGTTGGAGACGGATACAAATTTAGATACGTTTATGTTTTTCTCTTTCAGATGTTTTCATTTGGGAAGCATGGTACACCACCTAACATTTGCTGCTGTTATCCAGTTGTAGCCAAAGCTTCTCATCCGTTGTATTAATATGCACCTCGGCATGTCAAAAATGGAGCATGAGAATGGAGGCCAATGTGTGTCACAATGCTTCCATGTCCACAGGGAGTCTAGTCTGCACTGCAATGCAGTAAAGAGAAAGAGGAGGGGTTGTTTTTCGGTTCCAATCAACTGTTCATTGACCAGTGGAGAAAATAATCACATGAGGTGCTTGTGTGTGCGTGTATCGTGTTCTGCTCTTGCGCACTTGCAGCCAATCTCACTACAACACGAGTATACCGAGTGGTGTGATTCAAACATCTGTTAAAAGCTGATGTGTGTTCACCTAGCGACATCAGGACAAAGTGCACCGACAAGGCAGTTCTCTGAAACGCTGACGTGAGGCCAACATGGCACCGATACTAATGCATTCATTTTTTGACTACCAATACAGTCTCATCCAAAATATTGGACTAGTACAGCCGACAAAATTATTTTGACTGTAGACTGAAAACAACAAAGAAGACTGAAGTCCTATGTAGAGCAGGGACGTCCAAACTATTTCCACTGAGGTCCAAATAAGGAAAGAGAGGAGGTGAGTGAAGGGCAGGGTCAGTCAATTCAATATGCTTTCGGTCAACATATGCATAAAAAAAGTCTCTCAAATTGGTATTGTTGACGGAAAAGCAAAAAAAAAATAATAATAATAATAATTAGCTTTAGAGTCAGTATCACCATTTGAGACCTTGATTTTCTTAAAAAGGCAGTTACCCCTCAATGACAGGGTGGACAGCAATTGCTTTGCATGCAAAGTGCTCAGGATGATGATGAAAATGGAGTATACATGATCAAAATGACTAATTTTGTCAAATAACCTATTGTGGACAATGTAAAAAGAATTTGATTTAGCATAATTTAACCTTTTATTATGCTCACTGTAGCTAGCAGAGGAGTGTGTGGGAAATGACAAAACCATGTACATCCAGTGAAAAAAAAATGTAAAATGAAGGAAGCACATTTGAGGGGACTTGGTATGCGTACAAATGTTTGGCCACTTATAATAAGACCTCAGAGATTCATTATTCTGCTATATTTTCATGGGAACAGGGTGATTCGGATGAAGACACCAAGGACACTTTATGGTGATATTGACCGATTAGTATATCTATGTTCTTTTTTTTTTTAAGTGTGAAGAAAAATGTATTATCTTGTAATGTTGCCATGTATTGACAATTTTAAACTTTGTGACATTTTTTTTCATTGAACAAAAAAAAACCATTATGCCGCATTTTAACATTTAGCTTTTTTCTTGGAAACTTTGAATGTGGGTCGTGTCGAATTTTTTTTTCTTAAGAATGAGCAGCAAGGTAAAAAAAACTTACAGCGGGCCACTGATGGTGGGCAGGCCGGACTTTGAACATCACTGCTGTAGAGTGCGTATTTTAGCTGCTACAGAGGAAACAAACAGTAACTGAAAGGGGCGGCCTTGAACTGTTGATCTTTTGTCTCGTATTGAGCTTTTGAATCTTTTCAGTATACAGTATATCCAAAATGGTTCTACCCTTATTGCAACACCAAGAATCCCTTCTACTGAAATGGACAAAGTCTTGGAAGTTACTGCTTCATTGATTGATCCATCGAGTGTTCGGATATACCCCAGAGCATGCCTTTAATTTATATTCTTCTTCTTCTTGGAGCCTTTAAAATGATCCCTTCACAAACCTTCCATCCTTCATACCTTTCTTCTTCTTTTTTTTTAACATTTTCTTACCACACGGTGTCCCTCATTGTGGCCTGTGGCATGTTTCACAATGCTAGCCTGCACACCAAAGTCAAACTGGTGTAATGCATGTCCCCAATGCCGCATTCATCCATCCCTCCTCCCTTCTGTGCATCTCTCCATTCCCAGTCAAGCCCCCAGGGGTTTTCTACATTCCTGCTTTGCTCCTTGCTTGCTTGCATCCATGCCTCCACTCTCTCATTCGCTGCCTGAAGTCACCCACGGCTGCTTCTTCCTCCTCCTCCCTCCTCGTCCTCCTCCCCTGCAGTGACTCCTCTGCCACTGTGAGCCATGCTCTCTTTCTGTCTTGGGCTGCGGTGTGAGAATGGGGTCATTGTTGCTCTGTGGGGATGTGTACATGCGTTTGTGCTGTGTGTGTGTGGGCTCCTGATCCAGCGCCAGTGTGTCCTGCTGTCCAACCTCCATGCGCACGCATACTCAGTGCACTGTACTGGAGAAGAGACACAGACACGCCTGAATATGGACGGTCGTGAATACACAGCTTGTCTTGTAATTGTTCTGTAATCCACAAGGACAGTGATGCTACTGATACCGCACTGGGTAAAATGAAGTAGCATTCTACTGTATACGAGACATGTAGTTCAACCTGCATTTTTTTTTTTTTTTAAACAGAAATACAAGAGGTTGTATAGTGAGATTGCATCTGGAAGGATGCTGGAGTACCCAGTGAAAACAGCACAGGCACCGAAAGAACATGCAAGGTCCACATGAGGAGTCTGGAGCCAAAATTCGAACCCTGAATGCCAGAAGTGTGAGTTAGACATTCTAACCACTTGTTCTACTGACTGAAATATAGGGGTCATGGTATATTCATTTTTTTTTCCTGGTCACATCCCATGTTTATCATGGGCCCTTGTTGCTAGGCAGAATTCACATGGCTCAGACATAACTTCCCCAGATGCCAGTTAAAAATGTCCACAAATGGAAAAAAAGGTGAGTGTGGATGCAATCTCCATAGACAACCTCCTTGTGTCTAATGGCATGAAATACACATTTCCTTGATAAAATAATGAGTTTTTTCTTATTTCAAATATGTGCCTTGCCTCAATAGAGGTTGGGAATCCCTGCAGTAATGTACATAGCATTGCGTAGGAGCAAGGTGGCATAACAAGAAATTAAGTTTAAATATAAAAATATAAATGCTGAAACTAGTGTGACACTGCCCCTAAAATGCACTTGTTTTATATTGCAATTTAAACTCTCAAAGATGTCATAATCTTAAATAAAAAATAATCATAAGTTTATAGTTACCAGTAGTGTCGAACTGCACTGAATCATACCGGAAGGTGCTTCAAATATCTTAGTTACCTTATCGGCTTAAACCGGAGTACAATTCCATCTTTATAAAGGAAAATTGTATATCATGCAAGGGATGTTGAATTGTGGCCCATCAAAGTCGTGAAGTAATTTTGTAGTGTGGGGGTTCACCAACAGGTAGCCCTCAAGGACGACATGAGTAGCCCACGGGCCTGTTCTAAAAATATCGAACGAGTGGCATTGTGATTTCTTAGGAAGCGACCAGTAGAAAATGTGAACAATGGCCGAGATTTATAGAAATAAAGTGCTCCATATTGACATTTCCAGTATCTGTTTCCTAACAATTGGGATAAATCGTTAACATGATCAGTGTCTTCACATAAATGAAAATCATTAATGATTATTGATAACATCAAATTTAATTATAAAAGATAACTCGCATAAATTTGTTATTCCAAAAGTGTGTATCAAACCAGTAGCCCTTTGCATTCATCGGCAACCAATGAGTAGCACTCGGTTTCAAAAAGGTAGGTGACCCCTGCTGCGGTGTAACTTTAATCCGCAACCATGAAATGCTTCATTCAGTGTGAAAGCTTGAGATGTGAAAGTGGTCGCAGTCCCATCATTTCTAGTTTGCACTCGTCGAAGTTAGTCACCATGTCACTCTCCGAAGGATTAGCTCGCGGGACCAGCCACCACTCTAATCCCTTTCCTCAACAGCCCCACTCTTTATTCTAATAACCACAGCCAGACGCAGTCACTCTGTATTTTACAGGCCTACGCACCATATCTCGCCTCCCTAATCTGTTTAGCAGCTAATAAAGCATTTGTTTGCACTTTTGCTAACTATGTTAAATTTTAACCAAAAGAGGAATAAACAGAAGATGCCGATTACATTTGATTTGTTTTTTCTGGGAATGACGTGACACTATAAAAAAAAAAAAAAAAAAGCATCTTGTTGTGCACTTTTAAAACAATTGTGGCTGTTAGGCCAAGTGTTTGTCTACAGTGACCGAAACCAGGAAACTGTGGGCATCATAAAAGCTTTATTAATGCTATGGGCAAATACTAGGTAACATTTTACATTTGATCACTATTTACTTACTGGCAAAATAGGAATAAAAGGGAAAGGGTAGACACAAAAACAGAGATTCAATTTTAGGAATATTTAAAATACATCCATCTATCCTCCATTTTTTGGGGGGGGAGTACTTGTCCTGAATGGGGCAGCAGTGGTTTATCCTACTTGTCCGAGATGTTACAGTTCAAAATTGTCAAAAAAAATCAATGCAATTGCAATTTTTTTTTTTTTTGGATGCATATGCAAGCCACAAATGATGGGGGCACAATATAAAATCTCTCCTTGGGTGCCACATTGAGGTGGGCCAGCTCTGGTCCAGCTGAATGGGACAAATGTGTCAGAAATGGGCAACCAATGTATATTGTGATAAAATTTCCTACATCTGTCAAAATAAATTGAACAATGTTAGTCTTGACACGCAGCCTTAATTTGTTGAGTTGTGCCCCGGATGCACTTTTCACATCTCATATTTGAATATTCTTAATGGCAGCGGCATTTTCACTGATGTGTATGATGAACCACAGCCACGCTCTCAGACATCAAATGTATATACTGTATTACTCTGTAAAGTCGTATAGCAATGAGAAGACGGCCTCTTTATGCAACCTAGTGAGACCGGCGCCCTACGCTGTGAGAAACCCGAGGCTGATGCGGGATCAGGGTGACAGGTAAAGCATGACCAAGAGGCCAATGACTAGCCTGCTCACAAACATGAAGTGACATCACTCTAAAGGAGGTCATGGTAATCAGATTATCCCCCAGCCATAGCCTCACCAGGTTAAAACGGCAGACTATATAAACATACACTGGCATGATTTATAAAGTACGAGGGGATAATTTTAGAGGAAAGCTTACTAGCGAGCCCAAAATAAAGCTCAGTTAAAATATACACACACAGGCACTCACTCAATGAACAGTATGTCATAAATGGCCTTGATAAGTTTTTTTTTTTTTTAAAGAGGCATAGCAGAAGGAAACATCATACTGAGCTCCAAGCCCATGGAAGGTATGAGAAGAGGCTCTGTTAGCAACGCACCCATGCCAAGTGGTTGGCGGTTTGAAGAGGATACCTGAGAGCAGTGCACCCGCACAATAAACTGAGATGTAACCCAAAACGGAGATGAACCACTGTTTACCCCCTGCACTCTCCTCCTCTTGTTCTTTCCCATCAGTCGTCTGACTCGCGGGTCATACATCCTCGCGCTCTTTGGACTCCAGTACTACCCACATGGATTTTTCTTCTCAATTGATTTTTGAAAATACGAGTTGCGCCAAGAGGGGAAAACAAACTCAAATCGAAATAAATAAGTGACAAAATTGCGCCACCTTAACATGCATCAAACATGGAAGAACATGACAAAACTTGGCAATACCATTAGATGCCGAGTTTTGTTACACCCAATTGGGTACTGTCACATTTTGTTATGGTTACCTCGTTTTGCTACGACTGACCAGGTTTCTCATCTGCAAAATGACTGCCGTGGCAAATTTTTGGCATCCTTGCCAATCACAATCGGTTGGGATGGCCCAGACCCCAACGAATCAGTTTTGTCCACAGTGGCCTGAAATGCGATTGCCATTGCCACGGGCAACATAATGTAAACGTAGCTTAAGATGAATGATTTTCGAATGGGAGTAGGAAGCCGCAGTACCTGGAGGAAAACCCACACGTGAGACTTGAATCTGAATCTGAATCTCCTGACTGTGGCTGTGACTACAACAACATGCTGCCCCAAAGCAATGCTAATCATTGAGTTTTGACTAATTTTTCACCACAACTGCACCAAACATGTTGGGAACAGAAATTGATCCTGGACCAGCTAATTTGGTTCACTTTCCACTACAATTTACACGACCAAAAAAAAAAAAACAAACGAACAAAAAAAAAAAAAAAACGCGGCAAGTGGATTACAGAGTATATTTTGATTAAAATGGATCAAAGCTCATGCTAGGGTGAAAGCATCCTTCATTTCTCACTGTATTTTCCCCCTTCCCCAACAGAAAATGCCAGGCAACTAAGTTTTGTTGACTTTGGTATTTCAACAAGCCAACCTCCGGGGTTTGTCTCGCAGCTATTTATTCTGAAATTGATGCACATGGTCCACTCGCACCACGATGCTCAAGTGTCTCTTAAAGCAAGATCCAGGGGAAGGTATTAGGGAGGGTCCAAGCATTGACACAAACACAGTAGCATTTCTTTTATGCTGTCATTTACAAGTAGACAATAGTTGAAATTAGGGCATTGACATTTAACGCAGTGGCCGATAGAGGCTAGAAGCTGCATGACTCAACGGCACAGAAGCAATGCCATGTACAATAGTATCCACTGGTGCCCACCCCTTACCGTTAGTGGAGCCGCATAATGGGAAGTTAAAGAAATTAAGAATCAAAGATGCAAATGATGCCAAGAGGATTGTGGCCTTTTTCTGCGGATCAGCGATATAAGCGTGTTTATGCTACTCTTCAACTGTCTCACCCTTTTGAAAAGAGCCTTTAGTCAGCATCCTGCACTCTCCACCCACACTCGCCCCCCCCCCCATCAAGCACGTCAGAGGAGATCAACGCACGCCTTCGGAGACGCATATCTCCCATGCGCTCACATGCGTCCAGGCTTTGATTCCATTTGTGTGATGCACTAACAACTGCAACTGCGTCTTTAAAACAGCAAGTAGCACAAAGGAACAAAAATAGCACAGTGAGTTGCAGAGCAGAAGTGCTCTGCTTGAATACGAAGAGGAGGAGGAAGAGGAGGAGCAGATGGATGATGGAGAAAAGGTGGCCAACGGAGACACATTTTACAGAATTTAGGCTTCCTGACACTGATGTGATTGTATTACATGATGTGTGCCCTGCGATTGGCTGGCAACCGGTTCAGGGTGTCCCCCGCCTACTGCCCGAAGACAGTTGGGATAGGCTCCAGCACCCCCCACGATACTTGTGAGGATAAAGCGGATCAGAAAATGGATGGATGGATGGACTTGACATAACAAAAACACTCCCAATCAGTCGCAATGCTATTTGAGTCCGGCAACAACATTTACGTGAGATCACTTCCTAATCGGCTGTCGTTCAGTTTCACGTCACAATTACAGAGACACAGGCTGGGCCAGACTCAGTGTTGACCACATACATAAAGACTTGCCATCTACTTGAATAGGTTGAAGCAGGGATCACCAACTGCAGTCCTCGTGGGCCCCTAACCTGCATGTTTTACACGTTTGCCCACTCTAACACATCTGATTCAAATGATCAGCTCATCAACAAACGGTTCGGAAGCCGGATAATGATCCAGAATTTTTCAATCAGGTGTGCTGGAGGAGAGAAAGATCTAAAACATGCAGGATAGGGGCCCATGAGGATCACCTTTGGGGAATCCTGAGTTTAACATTTAATATAGTTGGCCTTAACCATTTTCTGAGAAGATTGGGGAAGAAAAATCACTGTAAACACAGCCCATACCGCAGGAAAATTGCTCAGGATAATCGTTTAGAGACATCCGACTATCATGCCTTTGCTGAAATTTGGCCTGATTATCGGTATGCATGTACCCCATTTGAACTACAAACCAACTATTATCATGTTTGTAAAAGCAGGCTTTTTGATACAGCTTATATCAGATCTGAATAACTATCTCCTAATGTCAATGTCAGTGAGTGCATTGGGATCAATCCGTATTTGTGTACATTTATGACCACAGACTGAGCATCAAGATCACAAACATGTCACAAGGACAAGAAATGAACACAGCTATGTTGGTTGTGTTGTTGGAAACTTTCATCATGCCTATTTGGAAGTAGACTTCAATTTAGATATACAAACATATGCTAATGACTGCTTCAAATTCTTAGCTATCATGACCACATTGCGTTGCTAACAAGCCATTGTGGGCAACACAATCTCGGTTTATCTGGTTGATCCTCCAATTGAACTCTGCCCCATCTTCTGAAGCTTTAAGGATCTCCGAATCATGACACTTCTCATTCCAAAGGCATTAAAAAGACACAAATTGATTTATACTCACTATTGCTGGACTTGAGGTCTCTGTGGATGATGGGTACAAATGCCTGGTTGTGAAGGTAGTCCATCCCTGTTGCAATCTGCACAGCCCAGTTCACCAGCACCCTCGGGGGCACCTTCTTTCCAGCCAATGATCGGTTGAGGGCCCCACCTCTGGCGTATTCCATGACCAAGCACAGGTTGGGCTCGCGCAAGCAGACCCCACGCAATGCGATGATGTTGGGGTGCCGGAGCATCCAGAAGAGTCTGGCCTCCTGGCGTACGCTCTCCGCTGTCACGCTGATGTCTTCGTCAGGGTCTTGCCTCGCAGCCTTGACTGCAACTTCTTCCCCCTGCCAGATCCCTTTATACACCTTCCCAAATCCACCAGCTCCAATAACCTCCTCTAGGAGCAGTTCGGAGAAGTCGACCTCCAAAGGGCATTCACTCACATCTACAGTGAGCTGCTGGTAGTTGGGAGCATCCCCCTTTGTCACATAGTTGCTGGGAAAGATACCCACCTTATCCTGGATCTTGCCCGTCCACCAACCCTCATCCCCAGAAACTTTGGAGTCTTTGGAGAGAACTTCCAGGAGGTCCCCACGCCTAAGGGTTAACTCCTCATCTGCTGTTGCCTCGTAATCGAACACCGCTGTCCAGTAGGGGTTGGGTGCTGTGCAGTGGTGGTGAGAGTCCGGGGAGGCGAAAGATGAGTTCCAGCTACTGCCATTCTCCATTTGCATGACCGGGGCAGGGCACATGAGAGGCGGCGGGGTCATATTCGGAGACATGGAGGATGCTGTTGATGGAATGAGGCATGGTGGAGGTGGGGAGCAGCAGCCCCCACAGCTGGTGCAGGACAGGGGGGCTGCCGTGTTGCTCACTCTGCCGTACGGGTTCATGGAGGCCGGACTGGTGTTGGACACTGCAAGTCTGCCCTCTGTCAACTCAGGCACAATACACACCGCAGGCCCATCAACTGATGCGAGGTGTCCTCGGCCACCAGTAGAGGGGTAAGGGGGATCAGCGGATCAAAGAAATGGGAGTGTTGCACCCCCATAACCGCATCTTGTTGTTGAAACAGTGCCAAATCCCGCTTCCGCTCGTGGGGAGCGCATGTATTCTTAAAAGGGTCAGGTCACTCGGGGACAATGCACATTAGGTCAAACCCCACCGCCACGAGAGTATCCCATGACTGACTATGTCTCTATTGAAAGTTGTTAGAATTGCAATTTTCTCTGTAAAAAAAACTACGCGTGTTGATTTCTTAAGGCATAACTCATATTCCTTATCGCTCATGAAACACTGACTTGAAACCTCCTACCATAACCATTACAGTAAATAGGCAAAGTGCTCATGTAGATCTAAACTAGATGACAATTAGGTCTCATGCTGTTGCCTGGATGAATTTTCCATGCATTGTGAGAATCCAAAAGGGGCTGTCATTAGATTGGATTAGCAGGGGACTGACTGTGGTTAGACTACAAGTGAAAATGACAGACCCTGACAGAGCCCTGTGCAATCCTCTGAGCCGGGGTCCTCATTATCGAGTGTACACGCTCCTCCCCCGTCAGCCATCTCCATGAATATGGGCTGCTTTCTCTTTATACAGCGCGGCATAGATGGCCGAATGGATGGATCTCTTTTCGGTGCCTTACATCCCGAAAGTCCGCTCCGGACTAATTCCTGCATGAAAGGCCACTCTGCTCAAAACAACCCCCGGACAGCCTCTATCAAAAGGGGGTCCGCTCATATCAATTCATTCAGTCCACAGCTGGAAAGCAGGTCAGTGTAGAGACAAAAAAAAGTGATGATGGCAAATGGACGTGGATGGGAGGCTTATTCATTTTAGTGTTAGCTTATCCATCAGCGGAGGAGGAGGGAGCCTGTAAATGTCTAGGGGCTTCTTTAAGACGGCAGGATGAAAAAATAGCTTATCAGCATTAACCTAATGGTGCAGCATAAATTAAGGCCATGTTCCATAATATAATAGTTCAATCACAGTGATATAGTCCACATCTGAAGGGTTGCACTATGATAAAAGCAAGTATTTACTGTAACCCAACCTGCACCGTGGGCATAGCAACATCCATCGACTACTTATGGGCGTGAGACTGCATCTCAGCGATCCACATCATCCACACGTCAAGCCTCCGTGGTGTCCCTCGCCTTGCCAATCATCCAGATGTCCCCCCAAAAAAAGCTCCATCGGTATTTAGACACATCGATCGAGCTGTCAAATACACCGGGCCAATCACTCGTCGTCTGATCAAATCCACACCGGCTGACGTGCACTCGGCTCGGGGAACAAGTGTCCGGCTGGTCGCTGCCCCACGGAGCAGAAAGCTGTCGACGGGCCCTGTTTGTGTGCATATATCCCATGCAGAATGAGCAGTATCCGGGCACACACGCCGTGGTGGAGGAGGCACAGTATCAGTCTGGTAGAACGGGAGAGACACACTGAGCCGCCGCCGCTGGTGGTTGTGATGACGTTCCGTTGCATTCTGGGTAATGTAGTCTCATGCCCATGTCGCTGACCTACATCAACGTGCTAGCTCATCAATCATAAACGTGGCACAATAATAACGGATTACTGATCATTAGCTCGGCAGCCCTGTTTCATTGCCACATTGTACGAATAGAACGACTCGATATTGGAATGGCAATAACATAATACACAAGTGAAAACTAGGGCCAGTTATTTTTATGACGTGCAAATGCCGAACCTTCTTCGATACAATATGTGACCTCCCCACGTCACGTTGTACTGCCAACGTCAAAATAAATTACAAATATATTTTTAAAATAAAATATAATCCATCCGGGAGGTGGGGGTGGGGGGGTGCTGGAGCCTATCCCAGCTGTCTTCGGGCAATAGGCGGGGGACACCATAAATTACAATGAAAACTAAAATTATTCACAAAATGAAATTTTCCTAAGCATTAGTTGAGCATAATGTTGAAATTTAGTTATATCATTAATATACAGTATTAGTTGAATTGTATGAACAAATGAATTTAAAATATTTTGCGCGACACTGACCTCGGGTGTCTACAAAGTATAGTACAAGCACGCGCATGTCTATGTTGTACGAGACATGAGTGGGAATCGCAGGAGAAATCAGTCACAATACAATCTTTTTTTGAGATATATTGCTAAGAACGATTGCTATAATATCACGATATATCAATTAGGCAATAGAATATTACGCAAACATTCAATTCCCATTTCAGGGTCAACTCCATTACAGGGATGTGGCGTCATCATGCCCTAAAAATGCTCTTTAGAAAACATTGGTATGTAAAACAAATGAGATGTTTCATTGGACCCACGTAAGGATAAACGGTTCAGATAATGGATGGATGGATTGCATATTCCGTATGTTCTTGTAACGTTTTTTTTTGTATTATTAATATTTGAATTCCTGTGTTAGTGTGATCTTGTTTTATTCCTTTCTTCAGTTTTTCTTTTTTTCTGACCTTATTCTTCAAAGATGCCAAAGGTGAATGGGACATCTTAAAAAAAGTACACAACATTTATTTTGGTTGACAATTTACGGTGCCAAATTATGGTTTTTAACCAATATAAGGAAATAGAAACTTGGTTGGAAATTAATTTTGCCTGTCGTCAAATCTAACATTGTTGAAGTTGCTGTCAGTACTTATGGTTCAGGTAGCTAAACTAAAAGATTAGAGAGACCAAAAGTAACCACCTCATAGTCGGCCTTAAGTTCCGGAAACTTTTAGTTCTTGGTAATTGTGATTCTCGGAACTAAAACATTTCAGAAAACTGAAGCACCCATTGCGTCTGTCGCCACAGGTCCACCTTAAGGGAAATTTTACTGCTTGATACTTGTGGTTCACCTCATTTTCACCCAGGGGGCTACAATTCAATGCAGGCGTTGTGTCACTGTCGATGAAAATTAGTAACTGGATGAACCAAAAGCGGCACAGTGTAGACTGGTTAGAATGTTGGCCTCACAGTGCAAAGGTGCAGGGTTCGATCAGACTGGTTAGCGTGTTGGCCTCACAGTGCAAAGGTTCAGGGTTCGATTGGGGCTCCGGCCTTCCTGTGTGGAGTTTACATGGTCTCCCTGTGCCTGTGTGGGTTTTCTCCGGATACTCCGGTTTCCTCCCACATTCCAAAAACATGCAAGGCAGGGTAATTGAACACCCGAAATTGCCCCCTAGGTGTGATTGTGAGTGCGAATGGTTGTTTGTCTATGTGTGCCCTGTGATTGGCTGGCAACCAGTTCGGGGTGTGCTGCTGCCCAAAGACAGCTGGGATAAACTCCAGCATCCCTCGCGACGATGAGAAGAAAGGAGTGTCAGCGCAGAGCACCGATGCGGATGTGGAACTCGGAGTCGCAGCTTGGAATTGAAGCGGATTTACATGGGACAGGAGAAGAGAGACAATATCTCTTTTTTGTTAATGGGTGCTACAGCTTCTTGTTCCTTTCAAGCTTGTAGCAGACGTGTGCACATTGCAGCATGACATCTTTGATCCACTGGTGAAAAGGACACTTTGATTCACTCGTCTTTCATCTATAACTGCTTCAGACAACAAATTGTATGCAGGAAAGTGGCTAAGATTGCACAATTGTCTGTGTCTACAGTACTGTGTTGTCTTGTATTATTTTGTCATTTTATGTTAACTTTTCTTTTGATGGCACCGCGGACACCTGCAGCGGCTCTTCGTGTTTTATGCTGTCTTGAGAGGGAAGAAATTTCATTTGTGCTGTGCACATACAGCACATTTGACAATAAAGTTGTACTTGACTTGACTTGACTTGACCCTAGTGAGGATAAAGTGGTTCGGAAAATGAATGAATGAATGTTTTAAAGGCTTTCAATGGTGAACTTTCAACAATGAAAAGAAGATTGCGAATGGATTGCACTATTAGTGTTTGACTGCATGGTACGAGTACCACTAGTGGTACGCAGCCTCTCTTGTGGTACATCACTGTTAAATAAAATTCAATTAAACATGAAATACAATCAAACACATTCCACTGAAGCTGGTAGCTGTGTAAGAGCTCATTTAAATAAAAAAATCAGTAATGTAGATGTATTTTACTGTTGATTTATTTATTTATTTAGGGAGTTTACTTTGTGTAAAAAACTTTGAGAACCACTGCGTATAGCAAAAAGTTGGCTTTTGGGCCCCAGAGAGGCTTGGTCCGGCATTGTGCCTTGCTACCACAAGATGCCGCTGTTGGCCCACATACGGGTAGGAGATGAGCAATAAGCGAACAATTAATGTAATTAATGAGTCAAGTGTTTCTTTAATGGAAATCGTTCATATTCACATGGAAAACATGCATATACTTTTACACTGATCACTGATTATGCACCCAAAAAATTGTAACTTCCACTTATCGTTTCACAGAGGGCCATTGACAGTCCACTTCACTTGCCAGGCCATGAGTGCTGCCTCTTGGCCGTGGACTGACTGCGCATGCGCAGTGACGTCGGGTACCGCTGTGCTCCGCCGTGGTTTCGGTTGAGCATTCTTGGCAGTGTCTCGCTCAGGGAACAGCAACTGGAGGCTGCTTTTTTTCTTGCCATGTCTGGAGACTAATTTTAATGCTGCTCAAGCCGGAGGGGGACCCTCGTCGCAATTTTATCAAGGTACGACCTCTTTTAGTTGCTCTTTATAACTGCTTCAAGTGGTCCGGCTCGGTTATTTTTAAGCGGCGAAAGAAGTGGCGAGCGGTATTAGTGAGCTAAGCAAACATTGAACTCTGAGAAGCTGCCCAAAGAGGGCAACTTTCAGTTAAATGCTATTCGTTGTGTTTTTACCACGACTCCGACATTCCATTTGGTAAAACGCTTCAAGCGTCACTTCACTTCACCCACTGCCGTTTACTCAAGATAATAGCCTGTCGCTTACGCCGGCTACTTTGATTAACTGCCCTCATAGAGCCACCCTGGTCCTCGTTCTGCGCATGCTCACTGCGCTATGCAGCCTTCCCATTTGAAGTTCTCCCCATCTGAGTTCGTTACGGTCGTCAGGTTCCAAGTGGCTACGGCAAAACTACTGCATCTAGACAATGGGAGCTTTGTTTGTTGGGGTGGGTGGGGGGCGGCTTGTTACCCCCTCCCCCTAAACACGGACAAGCGCTGCATGTAGAGTAGTAGCTTGTGCTGCAGTCGGAAGTTGCTTGTGACAGGCGGCGTGGGAAATGTTGTGCCTCGCACAAGTGTTTATGTGGTCGACTCAAACGCGACCCAGTTTACCTGGATGGCTTCGTGCAACATGTTTCAAATGGGAGGAATGCTCATGTTGTGCTAGACACGTGTATGCTTAAACGTGAATTTGGCAAGTTATTATATTCTGACTATTATGGTGCTGCCGGGGTTATAAACAAACTATAAAAGTTTGTGTAGGTATTATGATAATCTCATTGAGGGGGGTATTCATATAGTTCCAGGAATAGTGTCTAGTACTCCTGCATTTTTTTTCGTCACAGGTAACATCCCGACAGTGGCGAGGCCATCAGCATTTGACAGTTTAGGCTTTGCAGGTTTTGTATGCATGTAATTCCATTGTCTGTATCTTGGACTGATGGAGCAGTGTTGCAAAATTGCAAGAGGTTTTTCTGTGATGACAACAGTTCAACCCAGTGCGGCACTACGGAATAGTCTTTTGCTGGCTTTGTGTGAATGCCTGCCTGAAAGAGTTTGGGATTTTTTCATCAATGGTGGTATTAGCAGCCCTTGTGCTGCGTAGTTTGTCAAGAACATATCCTCCTTCGATAAACTTGGATAGCTTTATTTGTTCTTCACGTTGGAGCAATACGTTGTCTCGAACTGGTGCTGAACTTCCAGTCAGGGACACATTTTCTTTTCTGACATGGGTAACGATATAATGTATGTATACAGACTAAAACTGCATAACTTTAGCTGTCAATTGTTAGCCTAATAACTTAAGTGTCTAAATTATTTTTTACATTTTGGGAAAACAATGGTTATGATTAATTGAATAACTCAATTAGAAATGAAGTTCCCAAATTTTACCTGATTTAAGGCATTCAATTTCAGGAGTTCCACTGTAGTTCTTTTCCCTAGGAGGGCTGTTTAAGTTATTCAAATGAACACTACAAGTGGCCCTGTTTTGGGGAGGTGACCTTGTTCTTTGAGTTACCCTGTGGATGGTAACACGACCCGAAGCAGCTACATGGAATTCATTCATAATTCATCCATAAATGTTAATCACATCGGTGCTTTTCCTTGTTCAGACATGTCCAAATCTCCACATTGAACAAGTCTCTTGAAAGCTCTGGCTATAATGTTACCAGAGGGAGCAGCCATCTATTTCTGTAAAATATCAAACTAATAAAATAACAAAAAAAAAAAAAAATAATAATCCAAATGTATCCGCAGCTTGCACTAGTGCATAGCTCTAATCAAACAAAGCATCTTGTCATCAAGAAAATGGAATCTGGGCCACCCAAGTTTCACCTGTAAACACACTGACAATGTATGGCTGGCTCGAGGTGACTCACCAGCTTTTGACTTTGTTCTGCTCTTTACACAAGCAGCTCCGTTCTTGTCAGCCTTTGCGTGAGCAATCAAATCTCTCCAAGGGGGAGGCTCGTAAGATTTTTTTAAGGCATGACCGCTTTTTGGCACTGAGGCTACTTATAACACTCCCTCCCAGACCACGACTTTTTATCAGACCTCCTGGTGTTAAAATGAGAATTCGTTCTCTTTGGAGGAGGCGTCTTTGTTAAACATTGCATCGTAGTTAAATGAAGGCTAA